CTAGAGTTTTTTTTTCCTAAAGTTTCCTAGAGTAGTGTGTTGTATGGTTGAGATTTAATGACAAGTCACATCAATTTTTTAGCATTAAATCTCACCCATACAACACACCACTTTAGGAAACTTTAGGGAAAAAAAACTCTAGAGGATCCTTGGTGTCAATGACATGGCTGTTGACTAGGCTGTTGCATTGGTGTAATATCATCTCTAAGTCAAGATGATATCCTCATTTGATAAGAAAAAACCATCAAACTGTCCAACAGCCGTGTGGATTCATCCACACTCCATTTGAGACATTCTTTATATTGTCACGAGACGAATCTCTTGAAATTCTCAAAACACAAAAACCAACCCTTTGATTTTTTTTTAAATTTTATTAATCGAAATCGTCTAACAAACTTTTGAAACAATACGTAATAAATCCAAAATAACTCTTCACGTTAAAGTGAATAATTAAATTCACAAATATGTTCAAAAATCTAAAGATCTAAAATTCTCATCAATGCTTAGGTTATCCTATTTAAAACAAAAGTTAGTAGTTCAATTTATTAGTTCCAATTTATTTTGTTTGTTCGTAATATGGATTCTCCTTTCGCACTCAGGTAAATCTGTATAGAAAATTAGTTACAAAATAAAATAAATAACAAATAAATCAAAGAAATTAGTAAGAACCTTAATTAATAAAATTCTTATTTTATTTTTATAAACTCCTAGCAACTTAAGCACTAATAATCAAATAATTCATGCAATGACAACTAATTAACATAAAATAAATTGCATTAATAAATTACTAGAGATAAACAATTCAAATCTAATAACTTTAGACAATTAAATTAATTTTAATTTTAAGAGTCACTAGAATAAAACAATAATAAAATTGAATTGTTTTATCAAAACTATTTATAATAATTTTTTTTAAGATTGTTGGTATTTTTCCATAATAATACTAGAAAAATATATAAAATAGAATTAAATAGAAATGACAAAAAAAATTAATTATTAAATAACGAAATACAGAATAAACTACAGAACTAAAAATACAAGAATGAAATAGATTACATCATGGAACATATCACAAGATGGATTACATGGCCATACAAAATAATATATAAGAAATAGTTTAAATTTAAAACTTTGAAGAACAAAAGATAAGGGATGCAAACCGAAACAGATTCGCCGCCTCACCGATGAGTGTTGGAGGTATAGTAGTGTCTGTCTCCCGGGATATGACAGTCGAAACCAATGAGAGCATAAACACCTTCTGAATAGCTTCGGCGAACTTTGATAATGGCAACACTATCTCTATAACAAGAACTAAAGAAGAGGTTAGCAAAAAGAATATAAGAAAAGTCTTTTTGCTGTAAAAACCATCTCTAACTTTATTATATCAAAACAACATCTCCATTTTCTATCTAAAAAATATCTCCAAAATCATCCTACTAAGTTCAAAGAAAAGAGCCCGCTATTTATACAAGTAGGGGAGTCCCTAGCCATGTAGGCTATCATCACGAGGGCTATCAAATGTCATTAACCAAGGCCATCAACTCTAGTCATTAGGGCTAGAGTTACAAAGGTTAAAAACTCATGGACACTAATGCGGTCATCAAATCTATCATCAAAATATAAGAGTCACAAAAGTCTAAAATTCTCATGTGCTTAATATATACAAATAAATATGTATATAATGATGTTTGAATAATTCAAACAGATGGGTCACAAAACGGATACTAATGTTGGGTAACAACCCATTCCAAGCCCAATCTCAAACACATGCACAAGTTAAGTCCAACGCAACACAACACAACTCAACCCAAGCTCAAGATTAGGTCCAAGTCCAAGACTAAACCCAGCATATGCACAAGCACAAGCCTAGGCAGTAATAACCTGACCCTCTTATGTGTTTCTGGTATGCTTTCTGATATGCTTCCAGCATTTTATTATATGTGCAGTATATATTTATTGTGAAATTCCATGTGAAGTTAAGTTTAATTGTGTTAATTATATGATTATGGGTTCATATCTGTCAATTATAAGAAAAATCTGTTACAATGATGATGTTTAGATTAGTAATTGCACGCCCTAGAAGCTTGATAACCCGAAATTGACTTTATACTTATGATATGCGTGATTTTTAGATCATAATGTGAATTTTTGTAAAAATTTGATTCGTAATGATTAAACTGATTAATTTGTGGTCAACTCTTAGTTAAGCCTTTTAAACCCTTAATTTCGCAATTTTATCACATAAAAATATCTCCTGAGAGAAGGAGAGAGTGACAGAATGAGAGGTAGAAAAGGAGGCTCGACAAGAGGGAACTTGAAGAATTGAGAAGAATTTTAGAGATTTGGGTCCAAGGTAAGTTTAATTCACCAAGAAAATCCTCTTCAATTGATTTGAGTGGAAACTTTAAATATTCATGAAGGCTAGGGTTTCAAAAAGGAGCTTGTGTGTGATAATTGATTAATTAGAAGGAAGATCCTTATATTTTAGTTGTTTTGAACTATTTTGAGCTTTGTGAAGGAGAATTACATCATATTTTGTGGTTTATATGTTGAACTCACCTATATACTTAGATGATTATAGATATATATAGAATTGAAAACCTAATATGGCTAGAACTTTGAAGGAATTGGGTTGTGTATATGAATTTTAGGATAATGAAGACTTAATTGAGCATATGATTCATGTTAGTGTGGCATTATATCATCATATTGTCTCAAGTTCGTCTATTTTGCAGCTTGTAATGTGTTGACCTAGTTGGGTGTGTGTTTTATTTTGGGCTGCTCAAAACAGGGGTTGCGACTGCACGTGCGAGGCTCATGGTCGCACGTGTAGGAAGCACCACCGCACATGCGGGGCTCACAGCCGCATGTGCAGAAAATAGGGGAATTCAAGGTTGAGGTACTGGAATAAATGCAGGTGCGGGGTGCACGTGCGGCCCACATTCCCGTACATGCGGCGAGGGGCTTCCACAAGTGCGGCCCAAGAGGAAAAATGCTGTGTGTTTCGTTTCTTCTGTTTGACCTTCTGTGATTGCTAAAATGTGCATTTGAAGCTTTTAAAATGCATGTAATTTAATGAAGGTTGAACGAATCAGACATTGATTAAGAAGGAAAAACTAAAGAAAAGAGACTAACATATGAGTTGCATGTTGTATGTAGGTCACGTGCAGGAATAGACTATTGCTCCGCCACAGCACTGTGAGTAATAGTATTGTAGTGATATGTTTATTTGCTGCTAATAGTCATTGTTAGCATATTTTTATTCGTGAATGAGCTATGTAATAACCCGACCCTTGTACATGTTTTCTGGTATGGTTTCAGTCCCCTATTCTGTGCATTTATATGCTGATTATGAAATTTCATGTGAAATTAAGTTTAATTAAGTGAATCTTATGATTATAGATTCATATTTGTCTAATAAGAGAAATATCTGTTACAATTATAATATTTGGATCAGAAATTGGAAGCCTTGGAAGCCATAGAAGCTTAATCATCTGAAATGGACTTTATATTTGAGATCAGCATAATTTTTAAGTCATAATAAGCATTTTTGTGAAAATCTAATTCGGAATGACTAAACTGATTAAATTTTGTTTTATTCAACATTTATATATATATATATATCGTTATACATTTGATTGGAAAAACCTTAACTCAAAAATATCTCCCGAGTGGGAGAGTTAGAAAAGAAGGGGGTTTGAGAGGAAGAGGAGAAGTTCATCAAGGGAGAAGATTTAGGAAGTTGAAAAGGGTTGAGGAGAATTAAACTCAAGGGCACATACCAGAAGGAACTGCCGCTCCACCACAACATTGTGAGTAATAGTACTGTAGTAGTACACTCTACTTATCGCTAATGATTATTATTAGCACTTTGTTAATCGCAGGTCAACTGTGTTAACTTATGTGAACGTTTGGAAGAATCTGTGTACATCTGTATGGCTCTGAGACTAGTCTATTCTGTTGATATCTGGGCCTAAGGCCAATCTGTAAAATCTGTTGGGCCTAAGGCCAATCTGTAAAATCTGATGGGCCGAAGGCCGTTCTAAAAATATTTCCAGAATATGATTTCTACACCTGTATGCGTTGTAATTTAGATTTATACATTGAATCATTTAAGTATTATTATTCATTGAGCTTCGCTCACTTTGTGTTATGTCTGTCTCTGTAGGCAATCAACCTGGAGGTCAGTCTTAACCCATCATGTCCGTTCCGCTTTTGTTAACTTCAATGTGTCTAGGAACTGAAATGAAGCTCATTCATTCTTGTGGAGTTCTTGCTAAGCTCATTCTTGTGGAGTTCTTGCTAAGTCTTAACCCATCATGTCCGTTCCGCTTTTGTTACCAATATTTTTTTTACACGCCCAATCATAGGGCCGGGTCTATATATATGTGTGTACATGGCTGTCTCTCATATATATGTTCGTAGTATGGTTGTTTATCTGATGCAATGTTTGTGATCCTAGCATATTAGTGATAGCTCAATGGATACTATTTATGTTGTTAACTGTTTCCATTCAGGTCCCATATGTTATACATAACGAATTTGATGTCCGTTTCTGAAGTGATCATGCTCGAACTTTTAGGGGCGGGTTTGGAGCGTGACAAGTGAATCAGAGCATGAGTTGCTATCTCACACACAAATCAACTGAGCCTTAGGATGTCTAGAAAAGACTTAGGCATCATGCATAATATTCTGAACGCATATGGAAAGATTGATGGTAACGTTAAATGTAATCTGCTAACGCTAATGATTATGATCCATGTCTATTGTATATTCCTTGTGTATATTGTAATTGATTGTCATGTAGAATATGGTGAGAACAAGAACGGAAGACCGGGAAGATGCTACTTCTGCACGGTTGAACAGAATGGAAAGAATGATCATGGAAATGGCGGAGACTTTACGGCAACAACAGCAACAACAACAACCACAACCGCCACCGCCACTGGTACCTTCGCCTATGGTACAAGATTTCCATGCTGAGGACCAAACTATTACTCATGAGGGAATTTAAGAAGATGAAGTCACCATCATTGAAAGGAGGAATAGAACCAATGCAGGTTGAAGCGTGGGTGTTGTGGATAGAAAAGCTGTTTGAAGTTTTTCCTTGTACCAAAGCCCAAAAAGTGCAACTCGTTGCCTTCACTCTTGAAGACGAAGCACGGAGGTGGTGGATGCTTACGAGAACTGTGCACCAAGGATTAACGTGGGACAGATTTTTGGAATTATTTTATGATAAGTACTTTCCCCAAAGTATGCGAGATAAGAAGGTGACAGAATTTGAAACCCTCAGACAAGGCAATAAAACCGTTGCGGAGTATGAAGCCCAATTTGCAGAACTAGCCCGATTTGCACCTCATATGGTGGATACGGATTATAAGAAAGCATGAAAATTTGAGGGGGGACTACGGAATGCTATCCTTGACCGAGTTAACATATTGAAGTTACCCACCTATGTTGATGTGTTGGAGAGGGCTGTTATAGCTGAGGGAAACATTGCTGCTCAGAATTGGATTTCTGAGTGGAAAGGAAAGAGGCAGAACATTCAATTGTCAAAGGGGTCAGCCACTCCACCAAACAAGAAACAAAATTTAGGGACCTCTTGTACTTTCACCCCTACTCAACATTCAACTCCTGCTTGTTCAAAATGTCGAAAGAAGCACCGTGGGACTTGCTATCGGTTGACTGGAGCATGTTTTATGTAACGCCCTCAAAATAATAACAATAAACCCATCAGATAAGACATGCATTTACATATAAACTAACCACATTCTTTTATACATTAGAGTTCCATTACATAAGTATTACATGTTAACATCATAACAAAATGCCCTGCAGGCTTACAGCTTTCCAAGTTAACACTTGGTTACAACAAAAGAGTACTAACTCGTTTACACATAAAGCCCTTGGCTTGAAGTTACATGTAATACATCAAAAGTAAAACAACAAAACATGTCCGCCTCTAGCATCCCAGGCTATGTCCTTGGAGGTGGCATGCTTCCTGCACCTGAAAATGATATTCCCATATAGGGTGAGCCACAGCCCAGTAGAAATACACTAAACCAACCATGAACAATGACTAAAATATTAGCAATTGATAGATGGCCAACACTAATACAATCACGTAAATCACATATTTATGTCAAACGACTTACAAGTCCAAGTTTCCTTTCATTTTCCCTTTTTCAACGGATAGGCATATAAGCACTACCCACATTCTCAACAGATATGTATAACAACAATATCCACAGACAAGCACATAAGCTATATCCACATTCTACAACAGATATGTATAACAACAATATCCACAGATAAGCATATGAGCTATATCCACACATCACAAAGATAAGCATATAAGCTCTATCTTCACTTCTCTAGACAAGCATATGAGCTCACTCTACGGAATAACATATGTTTTTTTCCCATTGTTGTTGTTTGTCGTTCTTAGGTTTTTTTTTTCTTCTTTCAATTTATCAATATTTAGCACATTTTGCTATATGTTTTCACTTTAATTTCTTAGTTTATTCTTCCTCTTTTTTTCGGCAATATTCTGGATATTCTAGTGAGTCTTTTGCGATATTCTTAACGTCCAGTGAACATTCTAGACATTCCGACTACTTCTGGTGATGTTCAGAATATTCCGATAATATTTCGACAAATTTCTGGTGATATTCCGACGACTTTCTAGTAATATTGAATATTCCGGCGAATCTCCGATGACCGTCTAACGGAAGTCCGGTGGTGGTGGGATATAGCAACATCTTTAGATTTTTTTTTTTTTAAGATAAGATTTTTTGGTAATAATTAAAAATGTATAAGACTAACTAGTATAAATGTTTCGTTTTGAAATTAGATAAATTTTGAATCTTGTGTATGAAACTTACTAGTAAGTTCTTCCAAAAAAAAATATCTACCGAATCTAATACATTATACTCTTTCATCTAGGTTTATTATGAATGAAACCCCAACTTTTGTATAATTGCACAAAAGCCCCAAACTTTTACAAAATTACCAAACCAAGCCCAACATCTCAAAATACCAAAATTTGAAGACAAAACCCATAGAGAGGAGTAGGATATCCCTACCTTGAAGGTTTAGCCACAAAGGAGATGAAGACTCGAAGATCAACGTGCTCCAAATCCAAACTTTTTCAGATTAAATCGAAGCTCTCCACACCCTCTATCTTTTTAACAAAGGCCCTAGGCTAGATTCACACTCTAGGGAGATCAAATCCTAGAGAGAATGTAAGTTTAGAGAGAGAGAGGCTCGGATTTAGGTTTTTGGATCAAAAAGAAAGTGAAAAAGTGATGTTTTAGACGCTGCTGTCCGCTGAGTATAAAACACGCTCGCTCGAGCGAAGGCTTGGCGCTCGAGCGACCAGACACAGAAAACTCTCGCTCGAGCCAAGAAGTTCTCGATCGAGCGAAGAAAAATCCAGACCGCTCGAGCGAAGGAAGCTGCTCGGCAGCCAAGAAAGACAGCTCTTCAGGTCCAGAACCAGGTGCAACCGCTCGCTGCGAGCGAGCCACTCTGGCTCGACCCACCATACTCAACCCCACTCTCGCTCGACGACGCAACTCCTCGCGAACGGGCGCAAGGTCCAAAATTCTGGGCAGCAACACTAGGCTCCCTGAACACAACCAAACCTGTAACAAACCTGCCCTAACCAGCGAATCCTAATAACTCAAATACAAAGTAAAGAGGATGCAAAAAGATAATAAACAACAACCAACATCCACGGACACATGTCCGGATCACTGTACAACAAGGGTAAACCCGGGATCGCTATAACCTCCCCCCCTTAAGGAATTTCGCCCCCGAAATTAAGCACAAGTTGCAAAAACAGGTTTTCCTTCATTTTAGACAATGTTACACCTGAACATTCAACAATCGGACCCATTACCGGTTATCCCATCCCTTTAACAAGAGACATATCACAACATGTAAACAACATATGTATTATTAACATGCACTAACATTATGCACTAACTTTCCAATGTCAACAATATACTTAACACATATAATGTTACATTCAACTTCCATGTGAGGCAAGTTCCAAAACATACTTCCAATAACCAAAACATTTTCAATGATTCACAACTTAAGACATATATAAAAGTTCTTAAGTTCAACAAAATGTAAAATTTAAATACAAGATTACACATCAACAAACAAGTCCGGATATTTCTCACGGACTCCCAACTCACGTTCCCAAGTGGCTTCCTCCACTCCGTGATGTTTCCACAAGACTTTCACCAAAGGAATGGTCTTGCCACGCAGGACCTGATCCCGCCTATCCAAGACCCGAACCGGTCTCTCCTCATACGAGGCATCCTCATCTACCTATAAATCTGTCCAATCCAGCACATGTGATGGATCTGGCTCATACTTCCGAAGCATACTCAAACAATATCCACAGATAAGCACACAAGCTGTATCCACACTTCACAAAGATAAGCATATGAGCTCTATCTTCACTTCTCTAGACAAGCATATGAGCTCTATCTACGGAGTTCATCCCCTATCTCCTCCCAATACCTATCCGGTTTAGAGGTACATCCCCAAAAGAAATTAAATAGAAAAGGAAATTGAATAAAAATGCAAGTTGAATAAAAATAAAAATGGAAGTTGCATAAAATAAAAAATGGAAGTTAATTCAAGAAACAACTATACATTAACGATCTATTTGGAAATTAAAAAAA